CCTGTTCCTTTTTGTGTTCCTGTGTGTTTTTGTAAATAAATAAACATTTTTGATAATTCCTGTGCTTTTATAAAAGGCAAACCGTGACAGCTACAAAAAAAGCAGTAATTTATGGAGTCCCACAAGGATCTTTCTTCGGTTTTTAACATGTAAACTGCCCCACTGAGTTAGTGCCGATAATACTCCGCTATATATTTCAGACCAGAAGAGTTAAGGGGGAAAAAAATAAAAATGAAGCTTTAGCTCTCGTGTATTTAACCAGGATTCAATGCTACAATCAATCACACACTTTATGGTCTCAAAACTCAAGGCTTTAAGATGTAACTGGATTAGCAAATTTCAACAAAGCAGGTAAAGTGTTTCCACGCTCTGCTCAGAAGCTTGAAATAGTTTTAATAAAGATGTCAAAGTCTAAGGCCCCGTTTACACTAGTGCGTTTTAGTTTGAAAACGCATAAGTTTTGCTACGGTTACGCAATCCGTCCACACTACGCCGGAGTTCTCGAGCGCCGAAAACGGAGCTTTTTGAAAACGCTGGAGAGGCCGTTTTCATTCTAAAACGCTGCTGCTCCGTCTCAGTGTGGATGGGGAAAGACGGAGACATCTGAAAACGGAGGCAGGGCTGCCGACGTTCGCCTATCTGATTGGGGCTTTTCCTCAATATTAAGTAGCCCACACACAGTTCAATCTCGCATCATCTTCTTGTAAGTTAAGACTTCGCAAGTTTGATCAAGGCTGCAGTCTCCCCCTTCTCAGTTTGATATGGAAAACAGACTATACCGAGGACACGGGTAAATCTTCAAAGGGAACAGTCTACTTTATAACTTCATTCACATCACCTTGGCTACGTTGTTTCACTTTCTCAACAATAAAATGTAAACATGATTTAATGAACTGCCTATTTTCTTTTTAATATTAGCAACTTAACAGACAGCAGAAATGTTGAGGTGCCGTGCTGCATATATGAGCGTCATCTTCACTGTGTGGATATTTATAACAAAACGGAGCCTATAACAACTGCCTCCTTTCAATTTCAGTGAAAATACGAAACGCACCCTCTCTTTTGCTGAATATCAGTTTTAATTATCGATAATTATAAAAGTATAACATACAATAAGTTTATACATTGTAGGAAATAAAGGCAAGCGATCAGTCAATGTACCTGGATTAATCATTAACTTATCTTTGCACTTAACCAAAACATGTTATCCGTGAACAAGTAACTTAATAGATTCCAATGACCAAAGTCAGGTAATTGGCCTATGTCGTTAGATAAAGACAACAACATGAATGAAATATCACGTTTGGCAAATATAGTGAGATTAGATCCAGCGGGAGATGCTTGATGAGCAGTCCGACAAGCAGAGCTCTCATCTGGGTAGAAATGCTGGAGCGCTTGCCTGAGAGTGTGTGTGTGGTCACGTGATGTGCGTTTTCAGCGTTTTGGTGTGGACGGAGAGCTGTTCAGAAACGCTGGGTAAAACGCGAGTGTGGACGCGGATCGTTTTCATTCTACAACGCCGTTTTAAAACTAAAACGCACTAGTGTAAACGGGGCCTAAATCTTTTAGATGTATCTTTCTAAGCTTTTGCAAATTATATATCATGACTTTTTAATTAATCAAAAAAATTATAATTTATTAAGAAGCCTACATGAAGGCAAACCTTTGAGGAATGGTTCACTGGAAAGGGAGAATGGTGTCATCATTTCCACACACTCAGACCTTTGAAACCACAGGAAAATTTGATTAAAACGATGACATTTTGCTGTTGATAATTGAATTATTTTTGGTGAGAGAGATATCGGATGCTGACTCAGTGAATGCTCAAAGCCTTTGAACCATGTGTTCAAAACCGATAACGGAGCCTGATGAGAACCTGCAGACATGGAGCTGTACTGGAGGCCATAATATAACATGACACATAAATCCGTCAGCAAAACTGCCCTGATGCCTTTCTCTGCAGCTGAGCTCCTCCCTAGGAGTAAATCACAGTGTCAGACTAAAGGCTTGTGAAAAGACAATTTAGTAACACAGCAGTGATGAAAAATCATCGGAAAAAGTCTTGCCCAAGTCTTGCCTTTGAAGTGTATCGTCCTTGTCATTTAAATAGCGCTAGAACATTAAAAAACAACAACAAAATGAAGGGAAGACTATTTTCAAAGAGAAATTGTCAGTAAAAGAAATGGCAAATTACAACAAATTATTTCTCAAATTTGAAGTCGATCAACATCTTAATCTTCTTTTATTTTTTTTAGAGATCTGCACGGGGAGAACATCCAAACTCTATACTGTCTAAAAAACGTTGAGTTATTTATTTAACCCAAAGGTTGAGTTAAACATATTTGGTGCTTTGTTGGGTTATTTTTAACCTTTATTTGGCTATTTATAAGTCAACTAGTTGGGTTAAATATTTGGTGCTTTGTTGGGTTATTTTTAACCTTTATTTGGCTATTTATAAGTCAACTAGTTGGGTTAAATATTTGGTGCTTTGTTGGGTTATTTTTAACCTTTATTAGGTTATGTATTTATGTCAACTAGTTGGGATAAATATTTGGTGCTTTCTTGGGTTATTTTTAACCTTTATTAGGTTATCTATTTATGTCAGCTAGTTGGGTTAAATATTTGGTGCTTTGTTGGGTCATTTTTAACCTTTGTGAGGTTATTGTAATAGTCAATTAGTTGGGTTCAATATTTGGTGCTTTGTTGGGTTATTTTTAAACTTTAAGAGGTTTTTTAATTTAAAAGTCAACTAGTTGGGTTAAATAATTGGTGCTTTGTTGGGTTATTTTTAACCTTTATTAGGTTATGTTTTTATGTCAACTAGTTGGGTTTATTATTTGGTAGTTTGTTGGGTTATTTTAATCTTTATTAGGTTATGTATTTATAAGTCAACTAGTTGGGTTAAATATTTGGTGCTTTGTTGGGTTATTTTACCCTTTAATAGGTTATTTATGTATGTCAACTAGTTGGGTTAAATATTTGGTAGTTTCTTGGGTTATTTTTAACCTTTATTTGGTTATGTACTTATAAGTCAACCAGTTGGGTTAAATATTTGAATTTCAACAGTCAACTGATTTAACTGACACAAAACAGCTGTATTAATATGCCTGCGTAATGTTGTTTTTGCGTTTGCAGTTTATTTAAGCTCCAACACAATAATGTTGTTGTTTTTGTTTATCAAATTACCTCTCCATGTCGTGTTTTTATATTCATTTCACCAACCAAGACCATCTTTTAGAAAGCATTTGGATGTGGCTAAAATGCTGCTCCGTCAACACATAATGTTCTGCTTGCACAGTTTATAACTGTCTGCACTTTGATCTGTTTCTTCATTGTTTGTGATTGTTGATTTATTTCGACAAAAGTGTCAGGAACTGAAATGCAGCGGAAAAAAAACATTTTCAATATTTTTGAATATTGTATGTATTATTTACACAGTCTTAATTATAAAAATTAATAGTAGTACTGGTAATAGTAGCAATAGTAATACCAGAATGGAAAAAAAAATTACATTTAATCAAAATAACCCAATGCATTGGGTTAAAATAACCCATAGTTGGGAAGGTGCTATAATAATCTAGTTGGGTTATATGTTGGGGTATTTTTAACCCATCTATTTTAACATGATGATAAAATGCCAACTGACCCAGCCGGGACTCGAACCAGCAACCTTCTTGCTGTGAGGCAACAGTGCTAACCACTGAGCCACCATGTCACCCCATTAGACATTCATAATGCAATTATGAAACAGCTTTAAAAGTCTTTCATAGAATGCATTTATTGTTGCACTTACAATTCGAAATTCGGTTACAAAACTGGTATACTTAATGTGAAACTGACAACAGGCATCTCTGAATCACACGGATCATTTGTGCGGACAGTTATTTTGCAAGAACAAAAGGCTGAGTAAACTAAACCTGTGGAAAGGATTCTCTTTTGGTGAAAAGCCCATAAGAGAATGCACAACAAGGAAAAAACATGCACAATATTGCAGTAGATAAAATCCAGACAGCTAATGAAAGGGTACGTAGAGGAAGCCCAGTGGGGAAGGACAGTGTTATTTTAAATCTTCAACTTCCAGTTCTGGACCGTCTGTTTGGCCTGGGGTGCTTCCGTAACCTAGAACACCAGCAACGGGATAGTGAGCCCAGTAGTTTCTTGCCAAGTCCAGAAGTGTGTCATATCCGCTCTGAGAACGCAGCACGTCCACCCAACCATAGAAGTCAGATGACCACAGATTCCAGTATGGGACGCTCCTCTTTTCCCTGATCTCCCTGTGAGCTGGAACACCTGACAGACAGAGCACAATGAGATTTCTTCAACTGCAGGTATTTGTATGCAGAGCACAATGGAATTTTTTCTACACTAAAAAACGTTGAGTTAGTTATTTAATTAACCCAATAGTTGAGTTAAACATATTTGGTGCTTTGTTGGGTTATTTGTTTAACCTTTATTAGGTTATTTCTTAATAACTCGACCAGTTGGGTTAAAACTTTGAATTTCAACAGTCAACTGATTAAACTGACACAGAACAGCGGTATTAATATATGTGTGTAATGTTTTTGCGTTGTAAAGTTTATTGTTATTATTATTATTACACTTTAACGAAATATTGTTGTTTTTTTATCA